TAGTAAACACTTAGGTAAAATTACGTAATTACATTATATTAGACTTTATAAATTAAAAGAAGTTTAATTAAAACTTAAGATAAAATACTTAATAGTATTTAATTTTATTAAAAAAGACTTTACCCCTATAATTACTAATTAATAGAATAAGAAAGCTAATAAGCTTACTAATATAGAGTATATATATTACTATTATACTAACGTCGTTTATTTATAGTATACTATTCCCTCTAAGACTTATTTATTTATTAAAAAGAATATTCTTCTTATATAATTAAGAAGAATAATCCTTATAATCTTCCCTTTATTAATTATTAAATTATATAATTAGCTAATTATCTTACTTCTTAGGCCTTCTTTTAAGTTAATTATTTTACTTAAATCTAATAGCCTTTAATATATTACGTACTTTACGTTATAATAGACTTTAAGTGTATAGTATAGAAAATTAATAATAAGGTAAAAAAGCTAAGAAGAAAGCTAATTTTTCTACTTAAAAGTACACTCTTTTTATCTAATAGCCTAAAAGATTTTTTAAAGGTATATAACACCTTTACTATTATTTTAAGATACATTTATACTTATTATACGAAGACAACTATTAATATTATTATAGCTATTATTTATAATTATATTATAAGAAGTAAACCGTAAAAATTATATTTAAATATATTAGCTCTAATAATATCTTAAATACATTACGCGAAAAAAATTTATAGGCTAAAGTTTAAAAGCTTTAAATGTTTATAGCTTATAATATTACAACTAATATCTTTTCCTATAAAAATAACTTTAAGTTTCTTAAGTTTATTAAATAATAGGTCTCTTAATAAGAATATTCTTCTTATATAATTAAGAAGAATAATCCTTATAGTCTTCTCTTTATTAGTTATTAAATTATATAATTAGCTAGTTATTTTACTTCTTAGGCCTTCTTTTAAGTTAACTATTTTACCTAAACCTCCTAAACCGAGTAGCCTTTAGTATATTACGTACCTTACGTTATAGTAGACCCTAAGTATACGGTATAAAAAATTAACGGTAAGGTAAAATAGCTAAAAAAGAAGCTAATCTTTTCACCTAAAAGTATACTCTCCCTATCTAATAGCCTAAAAGATTTTTTAAAGGTATATAATACCTTTACTATTATTTTAGAATATATTTATACTTATTATACGAAGATAATTATTAATACTATTATAGCTATTATTCGTAATTATATTAGACTTTATTAAGGATTAATTAGTTAAGCTATATTCTTATATTAGCTTAACTTTAATTATTTCTTAGCATACTTTTATTATAACCTATATATATATTACCCCCTCTTAAGTTAAAAATAGCGAGATAATAAGTATAAGCTAGAGATTATAAATCTACTTATAGCTCTTTATAATATTAAAGGTAGCTAAGTTCTTATAA